AGACAGCCCCAACCCATGGTCATCCGGTAGTTGCGGTCGGCACCACACTAACTTACAAGCTCATTCGCAGATATTTGCACTCCAAGGGCGTCGACTTCACGCGACGAAACAAGGGCGGGAACGACCCGTTGAACCACGCTGTGGCCTACGGCCGGCGAAACATCGCTGCGTGGCTCCTGGGAGAAATTCATGCTGAAAGAGAAACGCCACCTCCTCCACCACACAGAAGCAGTTACAGCAGTGTGAAACTCCCGGGGGTAGGGGATGGGTCAGAGGCAGCAGCAGCAGCGGCGGCGGCGGCGGGGAGGCGAAGAAGAGACGACCCGCACTTGCTCGAGCTCGCTCGCCTCACGGGAGACGAAAAGATGCAGGCTTTCCTTCTCGGGGTAGAGGATGAGTTCGACCCTTGAGGAAGGAGCCTTTGGCCACCCTCTCAACGTACAAGGCCGGATCACTACCGTCATCATCAGTGGCAAGGAGAGGGGTCGCGCATTCCCCATGTCGATTTTTATTCGGGGAGGGAAGAACATTAAGCGGCACTCGTGCGGTGGTTTTTGTAGCCTGCCCACACCCGCACGTGTAGAGGGCACTGACCGGGTGTCGTTTTCACGGATGTGTGTGGGACAGCTTGGAGCACGTCGTGTCCGCCTAGAATTTTGATTCGGGTGACTGCATCTTTTATCTGCACGAGTCGAAGGGGGGTCTAGCGCAAGCCGACCTGCAGTGATTGGTGAGAGGTCTCTACCTCTGGCACGGAGTGTTCGTGTGGGTTCGATCGTGAAGATTATTGCGATCACTCTGCTGTACCAATTGAGCGGATGGATGCAAGAACCTTTTCGGGACGGGGTGCACATGCGGCACAGGATATTCCTTCCCTGTCTGCCCCAACCTCTGCGGGCGACCACACGTTTTACCCGCCCTGTTCTTGACGAGATCAACCACCCAAAGACTCACATGCTTGTATAGATTTGTTATCAAACACGGGCACCCGATGTGTCTACCTGCCGCCCAAAAGATGACGACAGCACCTCGAAACGCGACCGAGAAACAAAAGGGGCTCAGGGAATGCAAGCCGCCGCCGCCGCCGGCGCCGCCTCCGCCCTCCCCCCCGCCGGCAGCGACGAGGGCGGCGGTGGTAGCGGGTCGTCGGAGTAATATGGGGAACCAATCAGTGCTGTACCTTTCTTTGCGGTCTGGGCATGAGAACGCCTCATTGCAAGATGGGGGTGACTTTGCTAGGCTGGGGTAGAGGGGGGGTAGGGTTCGGAGCGTTGGCTGCTGCCGGGGTGGGGGCGGTAACGGGAGGGCGATTCCTTGAAATAGGGGGGAGGATGGAATACAGCGCATATGGGTCAAGTACAACGACGGTGGTGTGGCGTAACTTCCCTGCGTACGGCCCCGGCGTCGCCAACGGGCAATGGTGGGGGTGGGGATGGGCAGGCTAGCCGTAGAGACCCGTGTATAATTTTTGCCTTAAATATGAGGAGGGTGTGCGCGGGAATTATTCCACAGTAAGTGGGATGAGAAGTTGTCTTGGTAAGGGGGGAGAGGAGCACTCTACGGTACTTTCTTTGCGGAAAACCCCAAGCTTCTAGGTGGAACGCAGATGTGCTATCATGGTACAATAACTACTTAAAGACAGCGGTTGTATTTTTGTGCAACAAGAATAAGAGCGCTGTCAGGGCTAACCTCCAATTCGAGGTCCGCTTCCCTTTGAACGTGCGTGCGTGGTTTGTTACGACGGCACAAGACTTGTGTTGCGCGAAAAGTCGGCGTGCGGCGTTCATTTTTGTGCAACAAGAACAGCAGCTGTTGCTAGGATAAAGATAGCACCAAGTGTTTCTCGGGTTTGTGTACCCATTTTGGGGTACAATGGAGGGCCCTGTAGTACAGGGGTGTGTCCGAGATTTTGCCGGCTCTATACCGGGTACCGGCACCGTCCAACCGCTACTACAGAGGGCCCCCCACTGTACTTGGGCTGTGATCCACGGGAGGTGCCCGAGTAGTTGGACCAGTACGGATGTTAGAAGGTACTAAGTAGGCACCGGAACCATTGTAATGTGAAGACAACAACCACAACATCAAGCGGCTGTTGTCTTCGTCTTTGATTGTTGTGTACCCTTCCACGTGCTCGAGGCCCGACGCAAGAACATGCCACGTTTTCCTTCCCTGAACTTCCGCGATGACATTCGTGTACACCGAGGCCTCGTACAAATATCTATGTCGTCCAAGACGCATGCGATCCCCCTGTGTATGTATGCGTTAATGTTGTTTCTCTCCTGTCGGTTGTACTGCTACTCTCCCCGCCAGCGTTGCAATCACGGAAGGGGCACATCGTCCCTGAACATCTCAAACAAAACATCAACGTGACTCGAGCGACCACGTATCAAAACGTAACGTTGCTAGTATACAACCTGTGCCGTAAGACCTTTTCCAGAAAGCACAAGGACAGAGAAGACGTCATAGCGACAACAACACTGGTGTGATGCGCGTACAGCACACCCCCAAACCCCTCCAAAGACAGGCAGGATTTCCAAAAAATCGGGTCACCTAAGAAAATCATATCAACAACGCCCCCGAAAAGAAGAAAGTGACCCCACGTCACAAAATGTTGACTCCCACACACATTGAGCGCCAGACAGAGAATAACTCCACTTCCTACGGATGTGTAACCTCCCAACATGTGTATACTATGGTTTGACTACCTCTCTCCCACTTTTCAATTATCCCCCTCCTCGCAAGGAGGATGATCGCACCACGTTGTGTTAAAATGGTCAAGCACCCTCGAGGCAGTTACACAGTGCTTATGACTGTCTCTGCAAGTGAAAGCACCAGAAAATATATTTAAGTCATGCGCAGCTCCATCCGTTCGCAAGGAGGTAAGCGCAAGATGCCGAACACCCTCAGCAGGATGCAGCAAACCCTTCATGCGACTCGCCGAATATCTCACGGCGCTTCGCGCTTGGTGATGTGAGAGCCTGGTCCGGTTAGAACCCAGCGTGCTCCGTCACGGGTTTGTAGGGATACGAGGTCGATGGTCTAACGACTACGGCATGCACGACTATGAGTACACCCCCCCCATCCAAGTGGGGAAACCTGCTCTCCGTCTCGATGACCAAGGTACTGTGCATATTTACAATGCACGACGAGAAGACGACGACGTTTGTTTAGACACGCCGCGTCATATGTAGGTCGTCGTGTCGAAGGGAAGAGTGCGACGAGGCCACTCCATTCCCAGTCAGGACGCGGGCCTTGTCCTCGTAATACAGTTCCTTCACGTGCTGACAACAGGCGCTGAAGGGCCGGCTCAGAGAGAGGTGTGGGGCTGCAAACGAACAACAACGGCATTGTTGGTAGGAGGGAGGAAGGGGGGTGTCAATCAACAAAGTGCAGCGCTTCGAGACTAATGAAAACCCTATCGTTGTGCACGACGTGAACTCATCTCCTTCGGGCCGTATTAAGGTGCGCCCCAAAGGCGTCTATCTGCTACAATGTCCTCTAGTGTGGGGCCTTGCCACCTTCACCTTCCCTTGCCACCAGGAAAACAGCAGGGGATGAGTGACGACAACCTCTCTGAGGCGGTGGCCGGAGAATATTCAGCATATCGCAGCATATCACCACCACAGCAGCAGAGGAACAGCACTGCCAGCGCGAGAGCTACAACCAAGGGATGGAACTGCGGTGCCCCCGCGTTGTTCACCTCAGCGGGGCGGGGACGGCGGGGACCACGTGGGGGCTCAGGTCGGGTCGGTGATCTCGTCTTTCAGCTCCCCGGCGAGCTTCGACCACCATCTCTTGAAAAAAATTACCGAGGCGGGTGAGGGAGGAGGGGGGCGGCCTTAGACAGGTCCTCTTCAAACAGTTTACGCGTGCGCAGCCGCGCTGCTTGTCAGGCTGTTCAATGTCATTTCACAACGCTATGCGTAGCGGGTAGGAGTCGAGAGTGCAAGTACTTCTAATCGCATAACTTGCCGCATATGGAACAGTGGTGCTCGATATTTGTTTCGGCTAAGAGAGGTGAGCCTTCTACCTGTGCCTCAACTGCAGTAACGGCATGTTGGTGGCATATCGTATCGTATCGGGGTATCCCCGCATGAGACACGCACCTTTCAACTCAACGGCGAGGGACCCACGGGCGGTGCGTTCTCAATGTAGTTCGGGCAATCATAACCCCGCTGAGCAACTTGAAGTCTTTTGGGGGTGGAGGCTTCGGCGGCGCCGGGGCAAGGCCAACATTGATCACCAGGGAGAGCTTGACGAGGAAGCACAAGAATGCATATTCCCGTACTTCAGTGTGCCTAGATAAGAGGGGGTTCTTCATCGGTGTGTTGTTGTTGCCCTCCTCCCTGGCCACTGACTTCAAATCTCGGTTGTAGGACGGCTTGGCCTGCAAAGACAACAAAGGGGACGGCAGAGCGGAGGGGCAAGAGAGAGAGCAAGGCACCTGAACGTCGGTCCGTTTCATTTTGTGGACCGAACGTATTTCACGTCGGGAACAGGAATGTCTCGTGCTGGCCTCCCCACGTAATGCTTGCACCACCAACGAAACCCGTGATACTATTACCAATTCCTTGTTCGTGGGTAGGTTTAGCCGTGAGTATACTCTGACCAATGTTATACCTGAGGGACTGGGGGCGGCAGCTTCTCGTTCCCCTTCCCGACGATCGCCGACCACGTCCGCGATCGCCGACCACGTCCGTTTCCACCACGGCTAAGGGCAGTGGACCGCACAGGAAGGGAGAGTGGGGAGGGTGTGGGCTATTCGGCTCTTCAACATCGTTCTTGCCAACCCCATTTGCCCGACGGAGACCCTCTTCGTTCATCTCTCTCTGCTATTGCACGAAGCAATAGCCACTCTGTACCTACCACACACACGATGTTTCAACTATCACACGCAGCAACACGAGCGGTGGCAGCACTTGCTACGCTGCCAGGAGGGACGCATGCGTGCACCTGCATCTCTCTGTGGAGATCAGAGCAGGCCTGGCAGCAGTCCGGTTCTGTTGTGAGAGCTTTGCTCCAGAAAGACTGCGTGGGCATGTGCGAGTGTGCATGAGCAAGCGGGAGAAAGGCGTTGTTGGACCGCGCAATGCTTGAGTTGTTGGCGATCGAATGCCTGCTGTTGAGGCAAGCGCAGCATGCTTTCCACTGCATAAATAAAGCATACTCTGCCCTCTCAGTGAAAGATGAGCCGTACTGTCCCTGACTCCAGTTTTAGAGAAGGTGCGCTCGCTATAGACATTGATAGAGTCGGCATCTGCTCTTCGAAATATTTGAAGATCCTATGCGGTGTTGGATATTCAACTTGAACTGGGAGTGCAGCGGTTGCATGCCTCTCTGTCCATTTCGCGCGCGCGCAAGTGGATCCAAAAAATACGACTTCAACAAAAATAGAAACGGACTCCAACAACACCCAATCCCATCTAGGCGGGATGGGATCAACGCTTGAAGACCCATGCCTGTCTCATACTGGTCGTGGTAAGCCCGTAGTCGAGCACCACAGCCGAACTGCACTACGGTAAGATCGCGTTCTAGTATTCTTGCCCCTGCCCCCGCTCGATCATACAGCTGTACAGCAGACTATTTACAGTACACCAGACGCTTGTCAACCCGTCCCTTTGCCTTCCCGCGAGCTCCAACAGATATCAGAGAGAGAGAAAAACATCTGTGAAGCCAAGCACGAACAAGAGCTGAGAACCTCGCCGAAAATAAACAAAACGGTGCACCAGTCATGCCTGTACCTTCGATGCAGGCGGCGCAGGCTCCAGGGACGGTGGAGACGGTGGTGTTGGGGTCGGGCTGAAGGTGTTCCGTACTCCATCGAAGGCAGACGAGCACCATCCGTTGATCGTCCCATCAGCACGATCACACCATCTCTTGATCGTCCCAAGAGCACCATCGAACCATCCTCCAATCGGACCAACAGCACCATTATGCCATCCGTTCATCGTCCCAACAGCACCATCAAACCACCCCTCAACGGTGCTCAAAACCCTGCCTGTGCATGTGTACACGGTTCGTTCGATCTCCGTGAAGCCTTCGCCCACGCGCGCTCCCGGCGACACATGCCCTTGCTTGGTGCCGAGAGAAAGCTCTCCCACAACAGTCCCCCACTGTCCGTCCCACAAGTCCACCGCGTCGTGTGCATCCGGGTGGCACACTGCCGGGCGGGGGATTGCGGATGCTGACGGGAGAATTGCCAGCATGTCGTCGAAAACGAAGGCCCTCGACGACATCGGACGCCCGTAGGCACTGCTGAAGAGCATCTGACTCCTGGCGTGCTGCATGAAGTAGGCTTGGCCCTCGACGATGGTAGTGGCAGACGCGGCGGCGGCGTCCTTCACCATGCACAGGAACATGGCGCCCTCGGACTCGTAGCAGTTGTCGTTGGTGGGCATGGGGGCGATGTGAGGCCGCACCAGGTGGCCCTGAGAAGTGTACACGCACACCGCCCGTAGAATCTCAGCGACGACCATCATCCAAATGGCCAGGAGGATCAAGAGCACGGTCGTGGACGGGAAGCTCATGATGGTGATGGTCCTTGTGATGATAAGATCTCGAAAGTAGCGGGTTGTTCCGTGTCAGGTGATGAGAGCAAGGAGGGGCGGTGTGTGCTTGTTGTGTGCGGCTGGCTGACATGCTGGGCATG